TTGAGCTTCTTACCATTAAGGATTTGCAATGGAGGTTTTTACACCCCCAGACTGGTCTTTTTGTCAGAGCAAAAGCTTAAAAGACACTGACTACCAGTAAGGAGCCTCAAAGTTCCTTCACCAGTAGAAAATGTTATCAATTTTAAGAAAAATGGAGAGTTGAAGAAATCATTTAACATTAGTGTTCCTTAAAAAGCTGTCCCTTTTATCTTCCCTTGGATTCATTAATTATAGATACACCACATGATTTATAGATACTGGCAGAGATGGAGGTGGAAATTACTCACACTGGGAACTCTGACCAGACTCCTGTTAAGAGGGCTGGAGGCTGTTAAGTGTTCCATATTACAAAAAGACATAAGATTCAGGATTAAGCAACATGTTCTTGTATATTCTATGGCTGTGCATGTTCTCTGCCCCCCAAATCAGTTTGGTCCTTTACACATATTAGGATTGACTTGCATTAGTTAAAATTCTTTTACCCATGACTAAATAGTGTAGACTATGAAATTCTGCATCTTTCAGAAAGAGCATCCCAAATTTCCTAAGCACACAAGAATCAAATTACTTAAATTATGTCTATTTCATATTCTGAGTGCATACATTTGCAATTAGCTATGTCAGGCATTTTTCTTTCATTTAATTTCATCATCATCAAGTAGTATTTATTAAGCAAAAACTGGCTAATTAATTTTCTACAGAATAACAGATATTCTTACATTCATTCTATTTAAGAGTCTTATCTACCTGATACACGGCATTTTTTTTTCTTAGCAAAAACTACCTTTAAATTTAAATTTTTATCTGATTATATCAAGGTTCCAATAGGACACATTCCACTCCCACAGTCACCATAGTCAATAAAAAGGTCATTCTGAAAAAGTACAACAGACTCCATGGAATTTTTATTTTTACTGTAGCATGTTAATATATCTTTCCTAAATCTTTCCAAATATCACTATTCTGGTTATAAACTTTTTAAAAAGGTGATTCAGGTAGGAAAATAAGCAGTTTAAGTGGGTATAAGCAATCAATATAAAACCCTATTTTTGCTAAAAATTAATATAGTTTATTATTATTAAAGAAAAGGAAAGCCACTGTTCTCAGAATTCAATGTGTTTAGTAAATGAGTATGAAAATATCTAGTGACCACTGACACTTTACTTGTGCTACCCTGGAGAAAATAAAAAGTGAGTTTTTATGTGGATCTGGTGAGGAAGAATATTTTCTCGAGGTATGTTTTTCAAAGTGCAACAAAGACAATATTTATTTTTATTTAACAGCATTGATACCACATTTCACTTGAAATCCTAAACACAAAAATGAAATTTTAGAAAATCATCCTCAAGGATATCAAAATTTCATCTCATAGTTCTCAGCCGTGGAGAAGTCAATACACATACTTATACTAGTACATTTTGTCTCTAGAATCAATTAGACTATACTTCAGGGGCTAAAGTCCAGGAAGAAAGGCAGAAAATAAAATGGAACAGGAAGACTAACAGGGCCGCTGTGGAGGCCTACCAGCAGCCATACTAAAAGAATGCCAGTTTATACATGAAGAAGCACAGCTAACAGTGGCACTTCTAAGGGCTGTACAAAGACCTCCAGAAACCAAATCAGCCTGCAATTGCCTGCCACATGCAAGGGAGCATTTCTGGGCAATATTTCTCAAGATGCAAACTAAAAGTGACATATTAAGAGGAGATTACATAATTGTGAATAGAGTTAAATTACTGAAATTTGCCTTTAGAATGAATCAGGGACCCAGTTTCAGGAGAGTATCCTAGAGTAGATGGGTGCTCTTAATTGCAAATGGAGATTTACATCCCCGTTAGAAATAACTTGAATACAAGGTGAAACGATGGAAAGCAGTAGACCGAGAGGTAAGTGGGGGAAAGAAAAGAAGCCCTCAATTAGAGTCTCAGTCATCCAAGGGTTTTACATCGGGCAGGTAGCCTATCTTTGTTTACACCAATGGAAGCCCCAGGAGAACAGAGCACACAGAATCCACAGGAAGAATTTGGTCATACTTTTCAAAGTAGTTTAGTTTTCAACAATCCACCTTCCCTTAAGGGAAAAACACCTTGAGAACCAATTAGTGATATGAAGGGCCAAGAGAAAAAGCCTGCACTTGGGTAGAAAGAGTATTTTGTTGATTTCAGGGAAATACCTAGGGCCAGATGCTAAGGTGGATGTTCCCAATGCTTTGCCCCAAGGACACTGCAGTTTGTTACATTTGTATCTCCTCAAGGGGGACAGGAACAAAGTCTCAAAACAATTTTTGTAAGACATAATCCAGAATCATAGAACAGGTGGCAATTTTCTGAAGAGTAACGGTAGATTATTGGAATAGCGGCAGAAGAAGAGAAAACAATTTTTTTTTTCCCCTGTTAATCAGATTTCTTGTGAGCTCATTCAGGCCTCTATATTCTTTACACTGCAAAAGGTAAACAAGACAAGTGGATACTAAACACTCACAACAAGGCTAGATTCATGATTGATGCCTCATACTGTTTAAGATCAGCTATAAATATGCTGTCCAGTGGTTTTTAATGGTGTGATCGTCTGACTCAGCAGACCAGTGTCAGGAAAGAAATTTACATAAATGGAAAGTGAACTCTTTCTACAAGAAACAAGACTGTTAGAAACTGCTTAGGTAAGGAGACACTCACTTACACAAACATGGATATACGTATTAAACCATCCGCCAATATCTGCTGGAGCTTAAGTTATTGCCCATAAAAAAGCAAAGATGTTTGCTTTTAATTTCCAAAACGTCATCTCAGTTTCGATTTTACTGGGAATAAATTCCCTAAATAGCACTGTCATTAGGAGTAAGAAGAATAACATCAAGCAGTATCCACAAACATGACTTAAGCTTAGCCCATGTTTAGGAGGCTTCGCTAAGAGGGGTAAGCATGAGAAGACCATGCCAGGGGGACAGTCTCTGCTGTCATAGAGCATGCCTGCTTGGTATTGAAGAGCCATCCTTGTACAGTGGCATAGCAAAGGCTCTTGAGCCCAATTTTAGTTTAGCAATTCCTGGCTACCTGATTGCAGTAAAGGCAATAACCTCTGTCCTGCTATATACAATTTCCTCTTTGATAAAATGGAATGATGCTGATAATAAAATGTGAACACGAAGAATGAAATTAGAGAATCCATCTAAAACGCTTACCTCGGTGTCACCCAGCATATACTAAGCACTAAGCATAATAAGTGTTAATAGCTGTTGTCATTGTTACTGTTACTATCATCTCCTTCTATTCCTAGTTGTGCACTCTGAGCTATATTCGGAGTATTATAGATTGGCTGATGGGCCTTGATTCATCATCTGTCTCTGCTCCCATACTTCTGCCATAGTTTCAATGTGGCCAGAGGATATTTCTCTACCACACCACTGTGGATTCAGCCTTATAACTTGTTTTGGCCAATTGTCTGGTGTGGAGTGAGGGTAAGCTGATTCAGAGTCTAGGCATTCAAAGGCCTCCCCCACTTCTGCTGGCCCTCCTACACCTCAGCTAGCCTGTTGATCCAAGGAGTAAGTGAAATCTGTGGAGCATACTCAGACCTGAAAACCTATGGTGTGAGAAAGAAAACAAAACAATTCAGAGCCACCACCAGCAGCAGCTGCCCTGCAGAGCCATGGAAGAAATAAAAAATTATTGAAATTAATGAATTTTTGTGATTATTTATTATATGACAAAAGCTAACTGACATAGGAGCAAACTGAAGAGTTGTCTATTCACAATGCAATCCTTATTTCCTAAGTATCTAGATTGAAACAAAAGTGGAAGGGTAAATGTAGGAAGATAAATTCTTTAACCAAGCCAGAATTCTAAGACCAGGGTGTTCCCCTGGAGTCTAACTAGGTCTTCTTGGCTTTTGCATGAAAATAGGCATACATTATCAATACTGAGATCATTTTTTAAATGTTTAACATTTATTGGAATCCTCTGTTAGGTACTATGCTCAGCACGTACTTTTACGTGTATTTTCTCTGTTAGTCTCAGTAGCACTGGCACTATAAGTTTTACTCACTTCACAAATGATGAAACTGAGGCATTTTGAGGAGGAATAATTGATCTATATTCAAAATAAAAAGGCAGTATTCAAACTCAAGAACCTCATTGCCGGGTATGAGCTGATGGTGACAGAAGCTACTGGCTTGAACATGTACTTCCTCCCTACAATTGCTTTGCTACTCTCATCACATTGTTCATGTTAATTGTTTAATCCTTAGAACCCTATGAAGTGGGCTTTGCTTATTATTCCCATTCTACAGATGAGAAAAATGGGAGATAGCCGGCCAAGTTCCTTGTACATGTTTTTGCAGAGGTAGGGAGCTGGTGGGCTGGTGTTGAATGCAGGCAATCTACTTAACTGCTTCACTACATTGACAGCTAAAGACACATGGCTCACCCCAATGGGTCCTGAACTCCCCCTGGGGTGGGCAATGTGACTTTAGCTTCCATTTCTCTGGAAATGTATAAACTTATGCAAATGTTCAACAGCAAACATGCATTCTGAGTACCACAGTTATCTTTGGGTGTAAAACTGTGATAAGTGACCTTTAATTGACACTACACTCATTCGCAGGCTCCACTGAGCTTTCACTCCTGCAAGCACGATTCTCTCATTTGTTGCCTTTTCATCCACTTGTTTTTAGTTTTGTTTTTTTCTGGTTGTGTATTTTTAGGCTCAACTCTGACAGGTTACCAATTCAGAGGCATCCTAATGTAGAGTAATAAATAAGATGTGAAAAAAAAAATGTAATCGTGATGGGCTTTTAGAACTATCTCTGGGAAATACAAACAACCATCTAAGGTAGGAAACAGCCCAATAATTCCCTGGATCCGTTCACACACATGTCTCCTGAAGCTGTCAGGAAAGGTGCAGTGGTCTCAGCCCAGCACACAGCTTCTCCATCCTGACCCCAGCACACCAGCCACACCTGCAAGGACCTTCTCCTGAGCCTGCAAATATCATCTGCTCACCTTAAAAGCAGCGCCTCCGTGGATGATGGATTTGATAAAAATCCCCAGGTCGGTTCCAGTCTCTCTGGATTTGTTTCCTTTCAAGCTCACCCCCAGGCCAGCAGAGCCCGAGTCATTCAGGGGGATCTCAAAGGTGAGTTGCTCGCTCGTCTCGAGGGAGAGTGCACAGCAGTCGGGTTCTCCTTTCTGTTGGGAGAATGAACACGAAAAGAGTGAGTAAAAGAAAGCAGATTGGCAGTTCCCCCTCTCAGTGACCAAACACATGCAACAACAGGACAGGGTGTGGGTTTCTAATGAAGGTATGCCTGCTCTCAGCAAAGGCTGCTTGCTTTTATGCATGGGGGCCACTGCCATGTCACCAGTGGGGCCATGAGCTCTCAAAGATGATGTTTGGTGATGGTCAACTGAACGAACCATGTTGCAAGGCAGAGTCATACAAAGCGAAATGGTCCATGGTATTTGGAAATTCAGCAGAATATTTTAAAATCATATATTACAATATGTTATTTATTAAAATATATTATAGAAGTTAGACCTTAGGCTTAGGGAATATAAGGTATCAAAAGATACCTTAGAGATACTGCAGTCTCAACATCTTCATCCTACACATGAAGAAATAGAGCTTAGTGGAGAAATATGTTAAAATTTCAGGGAAACATTTCACCTAATTAATTTAAAACATTTCATTTACCATGGACTCAATGCGATTGGTAAAGATTGCCAATAGGACACAGAGCCCCCAAAACAAAACAAACAAAACAAAACAAAAAAACCTCTAACTTTAAAGTTAGAGAAATGTGATTTATAACGGGTACATTGAATTTAATCTCCCTTTTCAAATATCATGCTCTAAACCTGCATTTTGGGAAGTAGAACCCACTGCCAGTCAGTTTTTGGACCCTAACAAAAATTATTATGCTCAACAAATAATTTGTATCCTGTTTGACAAATCACTTCTAGCCATGAGCCAACTATTCTCCAGACATGGTTAATTGTATCTGGTCTCAGTGTTTTCCAATATACAGTAGTGGGGACAGACACCTGCTATACACGTGACAATCTTTGTAGGCGTCCCTCTGCATTCTTCTCAAGCTTGCGGAAATGGGAAACTGCCACAGCATTTAACTGGAAAATTTGAAAATGAGATATTCCTGGAAGCCATCAGCTCATTCTGGGCCAATAGTTCCTTCCTCTCTGTAATTATGTCTAGAAACTCTCATCTTAAGGTCACTTTGAGGGGACTCTTATGTAAAATTGCATATTTAAAAAATTACTATGAATGCCTGAATGTCAGTCATGAATAACTATGAAATCAGAAGTAGCAAAAACCCTATAATTAAAACAGGATTAAGGGGTCTGATCATAGCCAGATCCACTGCCGTGACATTTTCAACCCCTAACAAAACAGAGGGAACCCACATTGAACTTTTAAAGAAATAATTCCTTCATTTAAATTCATTGTAAATGAAGTTAGCTGTTGAAGATTTTCACAATAGGTTGTTCAAACACATGAAACTTTATTGCTTAATTTAATAAACCTACTACAGTTTAGCCCTTTTTAACTAACTTATTATATTATCATCTAAGGAACAAACTCCAGTATTTGATTCAAAATATCTGTCTTTTTGCCATTGGAATGATAGCACTTGGCACTAAATGAAAATAATCAGCCTTCATCTTTGTCTTCCAATATGCCTATTAGATCCCATAACATTTCACAGTCATTCATATTTCCTGGCCTCTTTGGGAGTTGGTTAATTTTAGTCTAATAAAGTTCCAGTGAGTTAAAGCATAAATTAAAGGTAAACTGTTCTGACTATAAATTTGTGAACATTTTAAGAGGAAAAACTAGAAAGTTTCTCTGGTTTTTATCTAAGGGAGACAAAGCAACGAAGACCAATTTTGCTATAGAAATACAGTAAAGTATCATTTAACGATGGGACATGTTCTGAGAAATTATCACCAAGTCAGGTGATTTTGTCCTGCGGATGTGATGGAAAGTACTTACACAAGCTGAGATGGCTATGACATCACTAGGCAATGGAATCTATAAACTACCATCATATATGCAGTTTATCACAGAAAAAAATGACATTGTATTGTACATGACTATACCTTCAAACCACTTTTCTACAAACAAATAAGTTTTCTTTGGGCAACTGTGTTTAATTTAAGATTAAAATAAGATTGATAACCATTTTTTTTTGCACTAATACCTTTCCTTTATTACCTTAGTATAAGAGCAAAATAAAGATCAAATGGCATTATCTTTTCATTTGAAACTCATCTTTTCTAAGTTCCTGACATCTGAGAGTTAAAAATATAACAAAAGCAATGTGTTAGAGGCTTAACAGTGATTTTTTGGTTCCAGTCTAAGTGTTTACACATATAATTACATGGACTCTTCACAGCTACCCTTCTAGGTTTATTATCATGACCATTTTACAGATGAGGAAGGCGAGGTGCATAGTAGTTGAGTACCAAGCCTAGAGTCCAAAGGACTTTAAATGCTGGAGATTTATGGAGCCCAGGTAGCCTGGTTCCTGGGTCATACTATTAATCTATTTATTTTTAGGGAAGAGTTTTGTGTGTCCACTGCATTTCCATATTCTCCATTATTCTATACCCATTTCAACAAAAAGCACCAATAATTTATGGTGTATATGGTACTTTAAAATATGTGTATATAGTAAACTGCTAAGTCAAACTAATTAACATATGCATTACCTTACATACTTACCATATTTTTGTGATGAGGCCATTTAAAATGTGCTTTCAACAATTTTCAATAATATAATACATTGTTATTAATCACAGAATTCAGTATGACAGATCACTGAAACTTACTTCTAGAATTGAAGTTTTGTATACATTGACCAACTTCAATCTTCCCCACCCCTGGTAATCACCCTTCTGCTCTCTGATTCCACTGAGCTCAACTCTGTCAGACTCTTAACTGTTAATTGTCTAAATTCTTGTGTCCCAACTATTGTGAACCACCAGTGTGATATGACCTACCCTCAAGAAATACCAAAACAGATTCCGACAAAAACAAAAAAAAAAGGACATGAATTTTATAGTCTCCACCAACTACAGTTTTGCTTACATCTTTCTTATGCTGTACCATGCTTAACCCATAATTAGTGGTCTCTAATAACAGCAAAATTCCCAATGGTGAAGGAAGCCATTACAGTAGTTAACACGGCCATTTCCTCTGTTAGAAATAAATGTCCCTTTACCTAATGTACAAAAAAAAATCAATATGCTGTAGGCCTCTTTCCAATAATCTTGGTTCAACCAGCGACTTTGAAAATTAAACTCAAATCTTGCCAGACAACGCTCTGCAGCAGATGGAAAGGGGTAAGTACTCTCAAGTGCCTCCAATGCAGGACCCCAGTGATGTGATGAACAAAGGCAATGTCACACTCGACATCAAACCCTCTCTGGCTTCCTGTTTTACAGACAGGTGTTCTTTCCACATTGTGTCTGGAGTATCTCTTGCTTTTTTAACACATCCCCCCTACATGCATGCGTGCATTCATACACACACACACACACACACACAAACTCCAATAAGTTAATGCTGGTACAACAGGGAAAATCTTGTGAATTTCTTTTTTTTTGGTCTATTCATTATTTTTCATTTTTTGCTTCAGACCGTGACTCTAGACACAGATTCCTCCAGATTCCTAGAGCTAGGCTCAGAGTGAATGCCTTCACTGCCTAAAACTAGGCCTAATACCCCAGTAACCTGCCCAGAGCCAATCATGCCACATCCTCAACACAGGCTTTCTCAACTTCAGCACAACTGACATTTGGTGCCTGACAAGTCTTTGCTGGGGGGCGGGGGGCTGTCCTACGCATTGCATTTGGTGAAATCCCTGGCTGGATGACAATAATAACCACCTTGCTTAGCTGTGACAACCCAAAATACCTTTAGAAACTATCAAATATCACCTAGGTTCAAAATCAGCTCCAGTTGAAAAACCACTGCCCTGAATCAAAAATTATCAAATGCAGTCAAATTCAAAAGAATCAGCCAGACACAGTGGTACATGATAGTAATCTCAGGAACCCCAGAGGGTGAGGCAAGAAGGTGGCAAGTTCAAGGCCAGCCTCAGCAACTTGGTGAGGCTGTGAGCAACTTAGCGAGACTCTGTCTCAAAATACAAAGGGCTGGAGATGTGGCTTAGTGGTTAAGTGCCCCTGTGTTCAATACCTAACAACAGCGACAATAACAACAAAAACCATCTAGGACTTCCTGCCTCATTCAGAGAAAAAGCCCAAATCCCTTATGATGTCTTACACACTCTTCCTAAGCTAAGTGCTCTAACTCTCATCCCTGACCCATCTGCTGCTCACCCTGCACCAGCCACTCTGGCCTTGCTTCTTTCCTTTAGCACCACCTGCACACTTCCAGGGTCCTTTACATTGCTCCTTCCTTCTCACTTTGAATGAACCTCCAAAGTATTCCGCAGATCTCATTCCTTCATGTCTCTGTCCAAATGTCAACTCCTCAGTGAGGTTTTTCTTCAGCTTTCAACTTAAAAGTGTTACTTCCCTCTCAAAAGCATCCTGCTCATGTCTGTTATCTTGCTTTGCTTTTCATGACATTTACCACACATTAAATACTTGCTTATTTTTTAATAACATCTCTCAAATACAGGGATCTCTATATTCTGCTTTTTCCCTCACCAATATATTCCTAGTGCCTAAAACAGTGTGACTTAAGTACAGGTGTGGGATAAATATTTTTTAATGAATACATTGATATAAACATCCAAACGCACATGCTTGGGTGTATGTATAGATGTGTATCTGTGTTGTGTATTGGTAGGATTCTATATACATCTATAAGCAAATGAATAAATTACTGGCAACCACATTGGATGCAATGTTTTAATAATTAAAACATTAATATAAATTAATTTATTATGTTAAAATAATTTTAACAAGCATAAGGTATCACAGGAATAAGGACTCTTCAGTTAAGGTTAATAAGGTTACAGGGAGATGTTAAAGTAACTTAGAACAATTTCCCTTTTGATACCATACTTCCTGCTCCTAGGAGAGGATCACCCAGCTTGCCTTCAACATTAAATCCTCAATAAGGCAAGATATTCTATAGCTACTAATTTGTGATAGATACTGGATTATTCATGGTTTTAAATTGCATCAGGTACACC